CCCCCCCCCCCCCCAAAATGAAGTACAGGCATTGGCAGAACACAACACCATTTAAAATTGCCTTTGGTAACCATTACTGGGCCACACAGGCTTAACAAGGGGCTATCAAAGGAAAACCTATTTTCATCTTTCTCCCTTTCCACCACCAAGTACCTAAAATCAACGTGAAGTATTTTATTCTTACGATGCAGAATTCAGGGTGGGGCAAAAGTAGGTTTACAGTTGTGAGTAAACAAAAGGGTTTATTCTCATATTATTATTGTATTATTTTCCATACAAACAACTGTAAACCTATTTTTGCCCCACTCTGTATTTGTGAAAAGAGGCAATCAGTTACAAAACAACAAACTTGGAGCTCAGACATCACTCATATCCTCTCCCATTAATACAATTTATTAAGGATGAATTGTTATACAAATGGCACATTAAGAGGAGAGCAAATACTTTTAGAGACGATTACATGGATAGAGAATGACCTAGAGATAGAATTAGTAATATGATTGTAAACAGAGTAATATAGGCCCCATGGGAACATAGCTATTGCTCTGTTGTTCAGAAGGAAACCAGAGTAAAACTTTTTTTAAAAGAGAAAAAAAAAACCTAGACAGGGAAATACCATTTCTATACATAGCCAAAGGAACCTGAAATTTATAAAGTCGTCTTCAAGTAATCTTCTGCATAACAGAATTAACCAATTTACCAATTATTATATCAGAATCTTTACATAGCAATTTTGTTATGAGGTAGAATGTAAGACATTTAATAAGGGGCCAAAAATCTCAAGGTAGGTCAGAAAACAAAGCCATCTTTAGCAATGGGCAGAAATCAAGACCACAAGTCAGTGAATAATGCCATAAATTGTTTGTACAGCAACACCAAAATAATCTTTCAGAACTGAGTTTTGTTAAACAAAGTAACATGCTCAAATTGCAGTGACAGAAAAAAAGAGGGTAAGTTTTGTTATGAAGTTTCAATGTAGCTGAAGCTTCACGTGACAGGGTTGCAGCAGTGGTTCCATATACTTGAGATACTAAAAAGCTTCCCACAAGAGGGAGTGGGGACTTTAAACTCTCTTCCAATCCGATTCTATACCTCAAATAGAATTATTATTATTATTATTACTATTATACAAAGGGAGTTGTGTTTCCTCAGCAGAGACTATAATCACAATATATGGCCTGAGGGAGAGTAGAAAAGAATGCAAAGGTTATTAATAGCAGGACTAAAATAAAAGTATTTAAATTTATGCTTTCACCAAACATGTTAACACATTATTTGATTTTTCATTGGTTGTAAATCCAGGAAAACGTTAACATAAACAGACAACACCTTACAAGCATAGCTGCAGCTACACTAACCTGGTAAATCACAATCACTTACTCTTTTTGTCCGTCCATGAATTCCTACGTTGACACCAACCAATTTTCCAGATATGACTACCAATATTTAGGATCTGCCACTCTGTCTGGCTGGACTGCTTCCAATTGGTTGAAGTGTGATGCTAATTGAGACCGTGGTCCTGAGGTTTGATCTCCATGTGGACTAAGTTAGCTTCATTCTGTTCCAAGGCCACAGCCTGTACTTCTAGCCCCAACAGTACACATTTGGATGTGGTGAAAAAATATTAATGAATCTAAATACATCTGCTGCCATTACCAAAATTCAACTCAAAGCACATACTCTTTTGTAGTATCAGTAATCCTCCTTTTCAGCTTCAACATATCACACCTATCCTTCACATAAAAAATAATAATAATACAGAACATATCCTACTTTTTGTTCCCATTTTAAAAAGAGGGGAAACAAGCATATTCTGAAATTATGCAAAATGTGTATCATAGGTCATATATTAAAGTGTTCTGAAAGACTACTGAACAAAAAAATGCCTTCTACTTTGTCAAAGAGAAATGGTCAACAATATCAGATTCTACTATGCAGTCTTTTCAATTATCTTCAGAAAATTTTAATAGCATTCAAAAACAAGAAAATATCAACATTACCCCTCTAATTATTTTAGATACCAAATACTGCCCAGTCTTAACTACTTTTCATAGTAGCTAATCACCAATAGAGCTGCACATTATACCTAACTTCCAATAATTAACAGCTCTTAGAGTTTGTTTTAAAAATCCACTAAGTAATTTTTTTTCATTCCCTACATTCTAACTCACTACAATCATTCTAAAGACTAGTTATTTTCTCAAGATTTTACACTTCAAGATTATGTTCTACGTGATACACTAGTAGTTGTTGCCAAGTCAGAGAAAACCATTAAAAATAACTTAGATAGTAAAGCAACCAAAATTTTACTAGTTCCTTTTTAAAGCAATGTTCTCAAGCATTTTTCCATTATCACCATCCCCCTCCCTCCAAAGTTATTTTTAAACATATTTTCCCTAATCACCTCCCATAAAATTTTAATATCACAGATATACGGTATATACTGAATACCACCATTAGATGATCATGGTATAGCTGTACTATTCTCTTCATTCTCCCTGATAGGCCCAACACTGCCTTTGGTCCTAAAATTGCAGCAATATCATTCCTGCGTTATGATACTACCAGTAATGGCACAGCAAAGGCCACTTGTTTCAATGCCCCTCTATTTAAAAATAAACAAATAAAAGGAATTTAATAGTCATTTCCATTTAGAGAAATATAAGCAGGGGAAAGTTACATTTTGCATTTATAAAATGTATTCTATACCAAGGAAGAAAAATACTAGCACACAAGCTCCAATATCAGATAATCAAATCTAATATGTACTTATCTTTTTAGAAAATACATCATTTTCTGAAACTTTGTCTAATTATATTCTGAATAGATATTAAAATTAGTTCATAATTCCTGTAAAAAGCTCAACTAATGGTAAGGAAGCCAACTTGTTACTAAAAACATGCCACATAAACCACAAAGTGGACAATTTATAGGCAGCTGAATGGACCACACTCATAAATAATAAAATTGAATGAGAAAAGCTCTAGCTCCCCTAAACACTTCTACCCAAGTTTCTAAATCAACCTCTACCTACTTCATTCTCAACCTTACAGTCCTATCTTAGAGGGTTTTCTATTAAATATAAATTATCAGAAATAAGGTTTCACTGATATTTGTCTAATAAACCCATTTTCCAAAACTGGCTAAACAAATGGCTAAACTATATATATTATGATTAAATATAAAGTATAATGACTCATGAAATAAAGGCAAGATGACTTATGCGGGTGTCTAGGTCCATAACTTCTAAATGAATTTTTTCCTGGCCACTACCCACATACATTCTCATTTTAAAGTTGGGTGGTCAGATTACTAAAGCAGCACTGTTATCAGAGCTAAATTCTACATTAAGAGCTTTTGATCCCAAAACAAGCAAAATACACACTACTTCAATGCATCCAGTATCAGTTTTCATGAAGTTCATAGTATTATTGGCATTCCTCTTCTCTGCCAACAAAAATTCTACAGATACAGGTACACATAAAAGAGTGGATTCTACAATACACAATCTCTCGGTGTTACAATTAGGTATGTAGGTACCTCTCACCAATACTACAGTGCACTATATCTAAACTTTGTATTCCTCCTTGTTGGCATATAATAGAAACTCAATACATGTATTTTGAACAACTGAGTTTTAAAAATTTTTATTGACTTTAGTAAAAATAAAAATCTGTGATTATTAAATACTAGGTTAGTAACACTATATCTGAGTACAAATCCCAGTTCAAATTGAAGTGATACACACCAAAGGCTAAAACAAAACCGCTTTCTTCTCAACTCCAAATTCAAGCAATGTAGAGGTTTGGAAGTAATTCAAATTCTCCTTCCACTGGAGCAACTGTTCTCGATTTGGTTACATCCAAAGACCTTCAATTTAAGAACTAAAGAGTATGCATAAATAGCCCAGTCCCTTGTGCCTTCTCCCCTTCAACTTTATTCTCTATTCTAAAATTCTTCTGAAGAAAAGAACTCTACTATAGTTTCATTAACTTATTCTTACCCCATCTCCAAACTGAAGTTTCTTCTAAGACAGACGAACATCTCACACACTTTTTCAAATGTGCTTTCCCAAAATACACACATGAAAAAAATGCT